CTGCCTGAATATGTGTAGGGTTGCTTCTCTACCCTAATACACACTTTTGAGCAATGTCCTCTGGAATGTTTCTAGCACCCTACTACGTCCCCGGCAGCCAGAACCTAAGAGATAGACTTCTCCTGAATTTGGAGGTTTCATAAAATTATCAAAGCCAATGGCCATGCCTTCATTCTATTGCAAAAATTATATAAAGTGGTTACACATATTTCTTTTGTCCACCTTGAATCTCTTGCCATGGCAGCTTCTTCAGATGCTTCGTTTGCCATATACACCCCCAAGCTCTATTATGATGTATTCATGTTTATTTTATTTATTTAAGCTTTTATATCCCATTCATTAGCACACAGCTCTTAGAATGGCTCTCAGAATATTATACAGCACAGCTAAATCCCTAGAGAGTATTTATTTATTATATTTTTGGACCATCCAATAGCCAGAGTTCTCTAGGCAACACAGAGCTATATTTAAAACATAAAAGTACAAAACAAACCATTTTTTCTAGACAAAGGCACAATTAGCAAAACCAATTAGCAAAACAATGCCATCCATAAAACTACCCACAAAATATAGCCATGCAAAGATTTAAAACTACTAAAACAGTTCTTAAAATGACTAGGGATATTGAAAAGGTGTTTAAAAGGCACTGGAAAGACCCTAAGGTATGCGACAGAGGACCTCTTTGGGAGGGCTTTCCACAGAGGAGAGCCACCACTGAAAAGACCCTGCCTCTTTTCAGCAGAAGCTTCTAAACGTAAGGGAGATTTTGAAATGTTGCAATATCAGGGCTTGTTGAACTGAGGCAGTATGCTTGTTCCTGGACTCCAACAGAAGTGCACACAGAGAACATGGGACTGAATTGCTCCTCCAAGAAAAGGGGGACAAATTTGTTTTGAGAATTTTGAGAGGAAATTACAATTTCCCATACATATGCAAACCAGAACACATGGTTTCCTTCGCTATTCACATTCCTTCTAATTTTTTGATGCATTTGTAAGGAGTGGAGGTGGAGTGTGCTAAAACATGTCTTTCAATGAAAATTGCAAACACACATCTATATATTAGGAAGGGAAATAAATATGTTTTAAAATGCGTTTTAAAGTAGGGAGCAAAAGCTGCTAGTTAGTAAAACGCATAAAATTTCATGGCCCCAGCAGAAGGCCCGCAGTGGTCAAATCTCAAGTGTCCGAACAGAGTTGTCATTTTGTGGAGTAAACGAGGTATTTCTAGCCAGGGGAGAGATTTTGTAGAATAAACCAGAGGGGTTAAGACATTGTTGTCTTCAGAGAGCCTGGCCTGTTGGGCAGTACAAAGATGAAAGAAAAGAAAGGAAGGAAGGAAGGAAGGAAGGCAGGCAGGCAGGCAGGCAGATATTTGCATCTCAGGGACCTGACATCAGGCAAACCCAGGGCCTCAAACTGGACTGGGTCTCATCTGGCTGCTTTGAGTCTCCCCCTTTCCTCACAGAGTCCCCCCATAAGGGCTAGGATCAGGGGTTGAGCGTGGGTTGCCATTGTGCCACTGTTAAAATTATTTACTTATTTACAATTTAGACCATTCTACAGCAGGCACTCTCAGAAGAGTAAACAGTCATTAAAATACAACAACTGTAATCTATCCACAATGATCATAAAAATCCAGGAATAATAAGCAATTAAATAAATAATGATACACAGCACCATAGACGACTAATTCAGAGCAACCAGTCATTGTCTTAAAAACCAGTATAAAATCATAACTATTTATTCAACATTTAAAATGACAGGATAAAAAAAAGTTTTGACCTGGTGCTGAAATGTATAAAGTGCTGGCACAAGGCATACCTCCCTGGGGAACTGATTCCATAGTTGGGGTGCCACAACCAAGAAAGCCCTCCCCGTTGTGGCTACCTCCCTTCTTTTAGAGGTGGTTCGCAGGGCAGGTAGGTGTAGGCGCAGCCCCATCTAAAAATGGATGAAAATGTGGGTTTCAGTGTTGTCCAAACTCAGCCATGAACAACCCATGAAGAGAGCCCTTGCATTCTTGTTGCGTGGTGAAGGGTGGGTCGGTCACCATGGTTTGTTATCTCAGCTGGGTTAGACCCATGCAAATAACAGTTCAACAACAGTCCAGTGACAACACACACTCATCCCTTGAGCATGAGTTGCCAAGTTGTCTGAACTCAGCCGTTCTAAGTTCGGCTCCGCTGCGTGGCACTTGGATTGGGTTCACACAGCACGATCAACCCCGGAGTGGATTGTCTGTGGTCTGAATCCAGCATTAGGATATGTTAAACACTCTGGCCAGCTGCATCAATGCAGCGAGCCACCTTGGCGTCTAAGGCTGCCCAACGTATTGTGTGAATCTTGGCACTGAGAACTGCTAGATTGGCACAGTGGACTTAAAGTCACCCAAGTCAGCCTGCGAAAACCCCGTGGAACCGTCTTAACAGGTTGACCAACTCTGCTGAACTCCTATTATTAAGCAAGCTCCAGACCTCAGGAGACCAGACAAAATGGGAAATAACTTCTCACTGTGGGAGAGATGATTAGTTGTTCGAATGAGGTGCAGAAACCCACCATGAGCTTGATCGGACTTCAACAGAGCCATTGCCCTAATGCTCTCGTAAGAAAGTCTCACAAAGTTGTCCATTGCAGAAGGTAGGTAAAACAGACCACAAGGATTCTGGCTTTATACTTTTCAGCATAATTTGAGAGATTCTTCTCCTTATTATTTTGCAAATGTTATTTCCCCTTCTTTTGGTTTGTTGGTTTGTTTTTTTTGTTTTTTGTTTTTAAAAGCTGCCGCTTGGCTTTATTGTTAATTTCGTTTGCTTTTCCAAGCTTGTCACTTGGGCTTGCAATATTGTCTTTCATTCTTCGAGTGGCTGGCAGAGAGATTGCTGAACTCCACTCCTGTGGGGTAGTCGTGTGGGTGGCAAGCCAATATCGCAAGTAATTTTAACTTGATTGCTCAGGAGAGCTCTATTTTATTAAAAAGGTTCCATGCCGGACAACTCCATGGACTGTGAAGATGTGCGAGCGAAGAGCGCACTCCGCTTCACAGAATGACATGGCCTTTAGTCAAGTCTTGCTCCTGTGCGGGGGCATCTCTTTTGGCCTCTAGAATTGATTTCAGCGGATAAACACAACCACTGTTTAGAGGGCTGGATTTGGTCAGGGGCTGCCCATTGCTGCCTGCTAGCCTAATTTGCAGTTCTGGGTGTCAGAAGAAAAGACGTATGGAACCACCGCCCTTGCTTCATCCCATAAATGTCTGCTCAAAAGGCATTCCCCCCAAACCTTGTGATTATGCCCCTTCAACTTTTTTATATTTGCACTTTTAGTAGATCACTGACTGATCATGCATTCAGATTCCAAACAGTTAATGAACCTGCACAGCTCTGGCATCCAGATCTTCACCAGGCAAAGTCAATTTGCTGCCCATTTTCCCGCCTGTTTCTTTTCCTGTTGGATCTTTTTTTGTCCCATGAGTAGACACAGGAGTCCAAAACATGTTTTAAAAACATGTTGCTGTCTACAAAGGTTGGGGCTGTACTTTAATTTCAGCTTTTCTGTGTGCAGAAAGAAGAAAATGGAACCTTAAATTTGTCCCCACTAACGTGATCAAGTAAAGTGCATGTTTTCGCACAAAAGAAATTTTCTTTCTGGGGATTCAACAGTAACTAATGTATAGGAGGTGATAGAACTTAAGAAACTGGGCTGTGATCCAGAGAGGCTTTCTCAAAAGCATTTTCTAAGTAAAAGAAGAGCTTTCCTTCCATTTTACTTGTTCAAGCAGTCTGTCTCAATATTTTCCTCCAGCTGAAACAGCATAGACTGTTTCCATGTTATTTATTTAAGCAATTTGTATGCCACCCTTCAATAAAATGGTTAGGCCATCCTATATGAGGATAGTTTTTAAAACAGCGTACACAAAATCACAGCTAAAATCAACATGACCACTCCAGCCAAAGGTGCTTCTAACATGAGAATCTATTTATATGGATCAGTTGTTCTCTGTAGAAGAAAAGAGAACACGGACAGATGGAAGGTGGATCTGATGTTTTGGATTTCCATTCCCATTTCGTTCCAACATTGCTGGGGGCAGGAATGCTGGGAGCTGAAATCCGCAACTTCCAACGATCCACCCGTCCCATCCCCATTCTAAAACACGAATCCAGACCCAGCAGAACTGCTCTGCCACGCCTCTGTGGCCACGTGGGTCTCTTCTGTCACTCCTGCTGTGCCCCTCCCCCTCGGCTGCAGACCATTCCAGCTGAGGAAGGATCTATTTCAAGGCTGAGGACTAGATCCTTTCCTGTTTGTGGGATCAGCTCAGGGAGAAAGCACACTGCATATAGGATTCTCTTGCATGCAGGCAAAATTGCAGAAGGAACGCAGCTCTTTGGAGCGAGCCAAGAAGAATCCCCCCCCCCCAAAAAAAACCACCCAGCCAGCCTCTGTCCAGTTGACTGCGGCTCCTGGGAATAGGCAGAAAGTTCGAGCAAGATTGGCCATCGACAAGGATTTTGCCAGAAAGATCAGTGAGCACTGATCTCTTACATTTCCTTCCTTGGAGAGCTGCTTTTGCTCCTTGCTCCACCTTCAGAAAGCAAAAATCCACGTGGATGAGCCGTTTGGATTGCTAAGTTGATGTCAATGCTGTACCAAAAGCAGCAGCCTAGGAAAATGGCCAAGGAGGGACCGTCAGCAGCCCACCCTAACTCTGTGCCTCTGTTTGCGCAGTAAGATTTGTGTTGCAACAGTCCCTTGCTTTGTTTCGTTGCTTCTGTGTTTTCTTTTAAATTTGAAAGAAGCCAATTTGATTTATTTTTCTTTTAAATTTTGCCTTCCTAAACCAAATTTTGTATGTTTTGTTTTAGATTTTTTTGTTATCATTTTTTCTTTTTTTCTTTTATCTTTCCCATCTTTTGTTGTTTTCCCCCATCCTCCTTTTCTCCTCCCCTCTCTCCATCTCTTTTCCCCTGCCCCACGAACTTCCCCCCCTGCTATCCATAGAGCCATCAGCCCCCCCTCAAGACGTAAAATGTGTCAGCACCCGATCCACGGCCATTCTGGTAAGTTGGCGGCCACCTCCAGCCGAAAGCCAAAACGGCGTCTTGGATAGATATAGCGTCCGCTATCGAGCACTGGACTCGGAGGATTCGGAAGTCAAAGCGGTGGACAACATTCCCCCGACAACCCACCAGATCCTGCTGGAGTCGCTGGAGAAGTGGACCGAGTACCGCATCACGGTGATGGCACACACGGTGATGGGGCCAGGCCCCGAAAGCTCGCCCGTCGTCATCCGCACGGACGAAGATGGTAATACTTTCCTCCGCGCGCGTCTCCCTCTTTGCCAAAGCTATGTCCCCCCATGGCCAGGAGAAGCAGCTCCTGACTTCTCTCAGACGAAGGGGTGAATTCCATGTTGGATATACTCGGTGGGGGGAGGGAGTGGGGGTCCTGCCAATGGCAGGTGGAGCCAAAGGCGAAAGGGGTGGGGCAGCATTCCCAAAGTGCTCGCACGTTGGAGCTTTGAAGCTCTTCCTCCCACTTAAAAAGTGTTGGGAGATGTGGGCCCATCTTTAGAGCAGGGAAAGGAGCACCCAAGCTGGGGAGCCCCCCCCCCCCAAGTAGTGTGTGTGGCCAGGGGAAGGGGTGTGGCCATCCAGGGAAGCCCAAAGGTTGGCCCTTCATTTGCGGCTTTGCACCCAAGTCCCAGTCAGTGTTCCCCTGGGCAGAAGTACCTGTGGCGCACTTTGGGGTAAAAGTGGGGAAAGAAGCAGATTCCAAGCAGAACTTCCCTAAGCATGTCCCCATGGCTGAGGATGTGTAAGGAATCTGATCAGTGGGGTGAAAAACCCATGGACTGTCGGAATGTAGGCCCCCAGGTTCTGGATTCATCTCTAAGAAAGGCCATGAGTTGTGCATTTTTCCAGAACAAGGTACATGTTTGCAAATTGGGCTAGTATGCTTTGCACAGATCCCGCGCTTAGCATACTCTGGCAGCCCAAAGTGCCTGCCAGCAGGTCTGATGCAAATCATGCATGTGATTGATGTGAGTGCATGTCCTTAGCATTTCTTAAGACGCAAATCACGGCCCATTTCAGAGCAGCGGGTTGCAAGCAGGCGGTTCCTCCCAGCTCCGGCTCATCTCTAGCCGTGTCGCCCTTTAATGTGGAACTGCGGTTTTCCTGCGCAGCGGAGTGCATTTTACCCTTATGCTAAATGCAGTACCCAGGCAAAGAGCCTTCGCAGCAGCGTTCTGCAAATTCATGACACTTACAGCATTCACTTTGGCTCCTTAGAATAAGGTTCGCTTTTAGCCTGTGCAGAAGTGTGTTCTTTCCATTTGGGAGACCTGCTCCCTTTTGTTTTTCTGTGATGAGGCCTGATCAGTACCTTTTGCAGAACCATCCATCCTGGCCTTCTGCATCTCTCCCTTGGGAGAGCCCTGTTCGCGTTTGATGCAGAAAGCCTCCAGGATACCGAAAAGGGGAGTTGACAGGGGTATTGGAAAGGGGAGTTCAAAAGTATACCCATCTGCCTCCCTGATGGCTGGAAGTTGTGTTGGCCATTAATTAATTTCCAGCAGTCCCTTCTTACTTACTATTTTACAATGCGGTATATCTCTCACAGCCTGCCAAAGACATGGCACTCCTAAGTAATACACAAAATATATTAAATATAAAACAATTCCAATGCAAACTTCCCTGGAGCAATAAAAATGACTGCATTAGGATTTAGGGGTGAAACTCTCGATTTGCTATAATATATGGAGACACTTTATTTTCCTTGGGGAAGCAAGTCGCCCACACAGACACAGACAGACACACACACACTCTGATGTTGTTGAGTTGGTCAATATGGGTGGGGGGGACAACACCCACCCATAGATGCTGGAAAAATCTAGCCTTCTCTGGCCGAAAAGACAAGTGGGTAGGTCTCGAGTGGCCAGTGACTTGGGGCTGGTCCTCCAGGATCAACCAGGTTCTAGATCCAGTGATGTAATTGTGTTTCACGGCCATCTCCTTAGGTCCCGCAGCTACACCTGCAAGGAGAGACTCTCCTGGGTGCTTGTCTGCCTTAAAACAAGAATTGCCTGCAGCCACACGTGGTCGCTGGAACATGCCTTTCCTCCCCAGCTCCTGTGGGGATTGCAGCCAAGGTCAGATGGGGAGGAGGGAAGTCTGAAGGGGGCCTGGTGCTTCGACCCCACAAGCCCTGGCTGCTCCACAGCATCTCCCCAGGCCAGGAGGCTGCTGGGCGACAGTAATGGTATTCTGCACATGGCAGCAAAGAGCAGCAGTGCATGGCATACGACTCTGCTGAAACAGATATGCTGGGGAGCCGGCGTAAGGTAGTGGTTCAGAACGCGGGCCTGGGACTCAGGCAATCTGGGCTCTAGTCCCCACTCAGCCATGAAAATCGTTTTGATTTTATTTGCTCTGTAATCCACCTAGAGAGTCCTGATGGACTAATTGGTTGTGGAATATGAATATAAATATAATAATAGCAGATAGAGGCAGGATATGAGTCTAATAAATAAAATAGTTATGCAATGCTGAGTTAGCAAAGGAAAAAGGCAAGGGTAGTGCAGACTTGTGGCTGCACAAGAAAATGGAAAAAGGGAGACAGCTTGCCCCTCCCCATCGTAGGAGCCGATCAAGATCTTCTGGGGATTCATTTTCTCAGCTGCAAGACGCGACTGCCAGGGCCTGCCGTGTCGCTGCTGAGCCACAGCGGGTGGTGTGGTGTTTGGGTAGCCATCACGAATATCCAAGCCACGGTGCAGCTTGTCACAATGTGTGAACCCACTGCAGTCCGAGCCACTGGCAAGGACTGTGGGCGCCTTTTCAAGTGGCTGCCCTCCCTCCCTCCCTCCCTCAGCGGGCTCTTTCATCTCGTGGAGCTGCAACTTGGGTATTCACGGTAGCTGCTTACATGCCCCACTGGGGCTTATTCAAGCTGCGGAAGCAGCATGATTGTGTGAACCAGGCTGGTGACCTTGGTTGTTTGATAGCCCGTGCAATTAACAAGCCATGGTAGCTTGCTCTATGTGGTGCCCATGCTACTCGCAAATGCCCACCGGTCTGGTGTGCTTAATTACCTGCACAGGTGTCATTCCGACCCAGGGATGGGGGTGCAGAGATGACCTTGGGGTCAGGCTCTTGGGGCAGAAGGCTGCGGGCACCAGCAGATTTCTCTGGGCACCCTTAGAATCGTGGTTTCTGGGAAGAGGGCAGTGGAGCAGCTTGGCCTGCCAGTGTTGCGGGTTTCACCTCCTGGCCTCTCCAGCCGGACGCCATGCCTGCAGCCCAGGGAGCAGTTGCCGGTGGGTGTAAACAGCCACTCCCCCGTGTGGAGCTCCCAGAAGCTCCAGACTCCCACAGCCCCCTCTGCAGCCAGCCCGGCCAACAGACAGGAATCCTGAGAATTGCAGTGCAAAACCTCCAGAGGGTGCCCTACTGGGGCAGCCAGAATAACCCGCACGGAGCCACTGTCCTGTGACAGCCTAAGGCACCTTCTGCAGTCCTTGGGATGATGCATTAAGTACCGGGGTTTGCAAGCCCCCCACGCCTCCTTTACTTCACACATTCAGGACTGAGTTGGCCGATGAAGGACATTCTCCAGCGAACACAGAAGTGCTTTTAAAGAAAACAAACAAATCCATTAGACAAACCCTTGGAGGATGGGTATTTGTGCGGCTGTTAGCTGCGAGCATTAGGTGAAGCCGCTCTGCTCAGAGGTAGAATCGTGCCATAGCGTCATCTCCCGCTGCCTGGAGCCTGCCAGATGCTTGGGCTACAGCTCCCACCGGCCCGGTCAGCAGGGCCAGTGGTGAGGGACAGTGGGTGTTGTGTTCCAGCCATCTAGGGGCCACCAGTCCCGGCAAGGCTAAATGCTATGCAGTGCAAGCCCAGGGAGGCCGGCAGATGTGGGATGTGTTGCACTGCTGGGGACTCCGATAAATCTGTGGCCCCCCATCTGTGAAGGCCCTGCCGCATCCTGTGCCACAGGCTCCCCCCTGCACTCAAGGCCCAGATGGGCACCTGGACACCTCCCTTGAGGGCAGAGACGGTCCCTGTGGGAGAAAGCGCTCCGGCAGCCGTTGCCCCAGTGGAACAGCACTCTTCCAGTGTTAAAGCTGAACCTCGCACCCCCTTCTCTCCCTCTCTGCCTCTCTCTGCCTCTCCCCGCCCTTCTCTCGCAGTGCCCAGTGCCCCGCCACGCAAGGTGGAAGTGGAGGTTCTGAATTCGACTGCCATCCAAGTGTTCTGGCGCTCGCCAGTCCAGAACCGCCAGCACGGGCAGATACGGGGCTACCAGGTCCACTATGTGCGTATGGAGAATGGAGAGGCCAACGGTGTGCCCCAGATCAAGGACGTGATGCTGGCCGACACTCAGGTGAGCGCGTGTGTGCACCCACGCAGATGGGCGAACCACTCCGCCTCTGCACAAGCCGACAGGCTGACACAGAAGGGCCTTCCAGAGGAGCTGCTTGGCTGCTGGAGTGGTGCCTTTCCTGCCTGGGTGAGCCATGCCCGGCACCCTGCAGCCCTCTGGGGAATGCAGAGCAGACCTATCACCCCGTCCCTCAGGTGGCTTCCCCCAGATTCAGAGTGTCTTGGCAGCAGCATCTGTGCTGGTAGGGAAGTTTGCCATCTGGTGTCCAAAGACGGCACTGCAGGCTGCCATGGTGAAATGAATTTGTGTTTTGTAAAAGAGAACAACCCCAAGGGGTATGTCCCTGAGCTTCTCTTAGTATGAACAAGTTTCAAATGGCTAGGCTTCATGTTCTTGGAGCTCTGATAGACAGACAGACAGACAGATGGGTGGACATTCATCTTCTTTTATAAACTGTCCCACATGTAACCAGATTCCAGATCTGTGGACAATAAAAAGCTGAAAGAAATAAGAGTAAATGCGAGTATTGACCCATTTAACTAAATTAGCTATTTCAGTGAGAGGTTACCCATAAAACCTCTACTAAGTGGAGGTCCTGATCTGAGTTATAGTTCTCACTGGCTTTGGGCCAGTCCCAGACTGTCAATCTTACTTCACAAGATGGTTGTGAGGACAGACATGGAGAAAGGACTATGAAAGGGTATAAAAGTAATAAATAATTGAAAAGCTCTTCTGAGCTTTTTTGGGCTCAGAATTCCCTGGCCTTTTTATGGGGTGCCACTAAGCCACCTGCCTCCTTCTATTTGCTGGGTTTCTGCATGCTCAGTTTGTGCCAATGTTCAGTTCTGCACTTCTGTGGATTTCTTTCTTTAATGGTTCTTAAGTTCATCTGTGCGCTTCCCACAGTGCTTCTTCTGCAACAGACTCACATGAGGTCAACGACAGTCTCTACCCCAGACTCTTTTCCAGAATTGCATGGGTTCCACAAAGAGCATACATCTTTGCCAATTTAGTTGTTGAAAAGTATGAAAAGCAGATCAAAAGCATGAGGTTCCACCATAGACTAAGTATATAGTATAAGTATATTTTTCACCTCTGGGATGTGTTTATTGTGCACAAATTTGTATTTTCAGGAGTGTGATTTCCTGCTAGTGAGATTTTGTGCAAAGGCATGCAAATGAATTTGTCCACAATCTGATTGCACCAACAAGCTGAGGACAAAAGGTGCCTGACACTCTTTCAGATGTGGGCAGAATGGATTTTACAGTTTCCATACATTTATTCATGAGTTTTTGTGCTGCTTCCATTCAGCATAGGAAATGCATCCGCACACACAAGCGTTGGAAGGGTCCAATCAGGCACCCTTACTCCAGTCACTCCTCCAGCATCCTAAGGCTGGTGGAAGTGAGGGCAGTTTTGCTGGGAATAAATAAGAATGTCAGAAGTTTGGTCCAAGGTCCGCCTAGGTGTGTATTCTGAGACATGTCGCTCAAAGCACCTTGCACCTGCCCCCTGCCAAAATGCCTACGCACCTTGATGCAATCAGGCAATCGGCAATTGCCTAAGAGTTTGAGTTTGCGTTTTGCATAACGGAACAATCAGTGCAGCCAGTGCCTTGGGAAATGGGGAGGAGAATAAAAGGTACAAATTGCCACTTGAGATCTCCTTAGAATGGGCATGCTAAGAAGCCGCCTGGGGCCCTTCTGCCAGGAAACTGTGTCCTTCCTCGCTGGGTTCCTCTGATTACAAGTGCAGCTAGGAAGTTGTATACTGAGGCAGAGCCTGAGCAAATCCTTACTCAGTGGAGAGGCTAGGAAAAGTGGAGAGGCTGGGGATTAAACTTGGGGCCCTCACCTCAGCCTGCAAAGCAGGTGCTCACCCACTGGGTGATGGCCCTTCCCCTAAATGCAAGTAAGATTCTAGTCCCCATGGTTTTAAGTAAAGGATGGATGTAAACAAGAAGTTGCTTTATGCCAGTTTGGAGTATTAGCCCATCTCATCCAGCATTTTCTGCTTCAGCTGACAATTACTCCCCAGGGTCTTTCTGGTACTTGCAAGGTTTTAGCCAGAAATGCCAGGACTTTGTGCTCCGGAAGTGGCCCAGTCTCTGTGAATTCCCCTCAAAAGCACACCTTTCACCTGGAGAGTGTGGGTCTCCCCGGAAGCAGTGCTAGAGGGCAGCACTCAAGGGCTGGACTCCCCGCCTTTCCATTTGGCATCCCAGGCCCTCTGCCCCATCACCTCGCTTGCTGTGATGGAGGTCCACAGTCCCTCGTGAGCTGCAGCGCCTGCCCCCGGCTTAGTTTTTCACCCCATGTGCCTCACCTCCTGCTGCCTCGCCCTTGAATCTTTCTGCCCCAGATTCCATCCTGAACTGCTCTCACCTTCCGTGTCCATGCATCTGTTTTTACAAATCGTGAGGGCACGCACGCACACACTGCTCGTCTCGTGGGCCCGAAGCCCGGGCTCTTTCAGCACCTGCGTGGCACGGTAGCCACTCTCCTTTTAGGAATGGTTTGCGCTCCACAGGGAGCCCAACGCTTCCCGCTTCCTGCTTTCCTGGTCTCGCTTCCTCCATGTGCTCTCTCTGGCTCACGCTTTCCTTTCTCTCTCTCCTCCCCCTTCTCACCTGCATACCCTCTTGTGCTCAGTGGGAAACGGATGACACTGCAGAATACGTGAGTAAGGCGTTCCCGAGGTGGTTGGTCCTGCCCTCCCCTTCCCCTCTGTTGGTGATGGTGTGACAGTGTTGTTTGTGTGTGTGTTGTCCAAAGCATCCCAGGCCCTGGCCACACTGCGTTCTTCTCCCCTCTCTTCACACGGTGCTTTCTTGGTGTCCCTCCTGGGTGAATGGAGAAGACAGGATGCCTTAAGTGTGTGGTCTTCCACGGGATGGCACAGCCTTCCCCAATCTGGTGCCTTCCCAGAGCGCTGGACCCCAACTCCCATCCTCCCCAGCCAGTGGTAGAATTTATGCATTCTACCAGTGGGTTGTGCCCCCTCCGGCTAGCGGAAAAGATGGGAAATTTGGGAGAGTTTGACTCCATCAAACTCTTGCCTGCACCATGTTTCTCCACTTTGGTCCCTTCCAGATGTGTGGGGACAGTGACTCCCATCAACCACCGCCAGTAGGACTGTGGGACTTGCAAGCCCAACACATCTGGAGGGCTCCAGCTTGAAGAAGGCTGAGCCACTGCAGAAACGCAGCGCCCCACGAGGGAGACGAGAGGAGTGTGTTTATCCTGCTCCCTGATCTCAAAATAGCTCCATTACAGCGCAGAAAAGGTTCCTCCTAGAGCCGTCACCAAGAAAATAGGTCTGGGGGCATGGGGGCCGGGGTGGAACAGCACTCTTTAAATGCTTGAAGGCGGTGGATTCTGCCCCCAGAACCTGGCAGGAGTGTTTTGCCATGCTCGGAGAGGAGGCAGCGAGAGGCGGAGGGACGCACCAAGGTCCTTCAGCCACCTGCATGCTTGTGGCAAGGAGAGCGCCGTCCCTGCGAGGCGTGCTGACGTGCATTGTGTCTGAAAAGTACAGTTTGCCTCCCCATCACTTCTTCCTTTTCTGTCCCCTCGAAAGAATTGCCTTGTGGTGTTTCCCCTGCATGCTTGGCTTTGCTGCTCTTTCCACCCAGATTCTTCCCCCGGCATTTTAGAGGAAAGAAATAACCCGGCTCTTCGGCTTTCCCCTCCCCAGGAAATGATCATTGCTGGCTTGCAGCCAGAGACTGCCTACTCGATCACAGTGGCCGCCTACACAATGAAAGGGGACGGCGCCCGAAGCAAGCCCAAGCTGGTCGTGACGAAGGGGGCAGGTAGGACAGTATTCTTGACCTACCTTATAGGGCGGTTGTGTGACGTTTTGGCAACATGCTTTTGAACTCGTGAAAAATCAAGGGCCTCGGAAGCCTGGGACCAAGTCCACCTCCTCTCAAAGTCTTCTCCTGGGCACCTGAGCGAAGACTTAGTTTCAAGGACAGCATCCGTGATGTGGTTCTGTACCCCGAGCACTTGCTCCCCAGACAAAGCAATTTGCCATAGTGCCAGCTCTTTACCCCCCAGTGCCAGCTTAGAAGGCACAGGAGAGGCTTAGGTGGAGCTCTCCACTGTCTTCTGTACCTTGAGGGCAACCCTATGGCTGCTGGATGCCATACGAATGGTTGGCATTCCAGCTCTGATCTTGAAAACACCTCCCAAGATGGAGGCTGCAGCGCCAGCCTTGGAGCGCCTTTGCAGCCAGTGTGGATCTTCCTCAGGGCAGGCCCTTTTCTGTGGGAGCATGTGTAGGATTCTGGCCTTACACATCGTCCCCACTCTCTCCCATGCCCCACCCAATCCTGCTGGCAGACTTGTGTTGTCCAAACATACACAAGATTGCAGGACGTTTTTCTGCCTGGACATGCACAAGATTGCAGGACCTTTTTCTGACCACACATGCCTAGAAGTGCACCCTGCACAAGGAAGAGGTTTGCTAAAATCTCTGCCTCTGTTCACCTGGTTGAGGGTTCAAAAGCAACAGCCACATATGCATGCAGTTCCCACTCTTGTGAAGAAATGTTTCTTGAATGCTTTTTCCTTTTGTCTTCTCTCCAGTTGTTTTTGTTTATTGCCATTGCGTGTATCAAAACATTCATCACTGAAGAAATGCCTCTTCGACAGATAAGCTATTACCCCAAAACTCAATTCCCTTCAGCTTCAAGACAATAAATTTCAATTATTATACTGTTTTCTTCCAGATATGAGGCCATAATGATTACTTGGCTTTGTTTCTGGGTCTAAATCATTCATGCAGGTCTCTTTCCAAATCTTTCTTACTGACCTTGGGCAAAGTCACCATCTATCCATCTGACCTACCTCACAGGGTTGTTGGAAGGGTTAGAGCAGGGGATGGATCCAGTCTGCCACCTTAAACGCACCATTACACATAAATGGTCTCCCTCCCAGGTGCAGCTTGCAAACTGCATCAAGCAGTTTGGGGCCGGAGCTAAAGAGGAGCCCAAGTTCAGTGGCTGAGCCCTGACCTGCAGACATGGAGGTCCACATCCAGTCTCTGGCACCTTCAGGCATTGCTCAGAAAAAGTCGGGCCTGAACCTGCTGCCATCTGGTGACTAGGGTCAAGAGGACTAGTATCTTATTTTTTAACTTAAGAGCGCTGCTTATGGTAAAGCCCTTGCTTTGCACACACAGCATTCCCCCAGTTTGATCCCTGCCAGCTCCAGATGGGGTTGGAAAAATTGCCACCTGAAACCCTGGAGAAAAGCTGCTGCCAGTCCATGTTGGCAGTGCTGGCTGAAATGGGTTCAGGGCCTGGCTCAGTGTAAGCAGCTTCCTAAGTTCTTATTTGAACCAAAGCTTGACTCAGAAGCATGAGAACTAGAAACATATTTCTTTGTAAGGGGCCCAGTGGCAGAGCATCTGCTTTGCTCACAAAAGGCCTGGGTCTGATCCCCAGAGGCGTCTCCAGGGAGCACTGGGAAATTCCCTGCCTGGAACGTTGCTGCCATTCAGAGTCAGCAGTGCTAGGCTATGTGGATCCAGCACCCAGTTCAGTAAACAGCAGCTTCACATTGACCTGCTACAATGCTGTAGCAGTGCCCCCTCTTCTCTGTTGGGCCCAATCCCATCACTTCTGCCATTCTAGGCCTGGTGTGAGGACACCTCTGTGGGGAAGGGCTGTATCACAACGGTTGCCGCCATGTTGCTTTTTGGACCATTGCAATTTTGGGGCAGGAAATGCCTCCCACACCTACATAGTTTGCCCAAAACCTCCCAGGACCATCTTCCTTCCAGACCCGAAATTCAAGAAGACATCCTGTGCTTCCACACCTCTAGCTCTACCATCTGCACCCACAGGTGGTCTTGACCTTTTAAACAGCTCTGCCTCTGTCCCTCCCCCACCTCATAGCCCTGTCAGTCTGGTGGATCCAATATCAGCAAGGTTGAGTATCCACTCCAGGTGTTAGCCTGAACTCTTGAGGAGCTGTCCATGGTTCTGAACCTGGTGTAGCTGCACCAGCTTGTTGTCACTGGAACCATGAGCCTCAGTTGCCTTTTGCACACCTGGCACATCCTCACAATTCATCAAACCTCAGCTCAGAACCGACCTTTTCCTGAAAGTCTTTGCTCTTCCACCGTGACTGCATTTCTTCGCATTCATCCTTTCTTGCCTTTGTTTTTCCCTCCGTGCATCTGTCTTTCTTTTTCTTCCAGCCCATGCGGTGCTGATATAATGTGCATGGGCTCTGTGTAATTTTGTAAAATGCCATGCATGATTTTCACACTTTATAAATAATACTAAAAAAGACCATTAGTTCAGAATGTAGCTCTAAATACAGCATGAAAATAATGGATCTGCTATAGATTTCAGTGGGAACTCATTCAGAGAAAGAGAATGCTAGAATAATGAATTCAGTTCTTCTCACGTTGACTGGAGACCAACTGAGAGGCAGTATTTCTGAATAATATGGATAAACATGCCTTGAAATCATTCGTCATGGAAGCAACAAGAAGAGAGGTGACCATTGGTCAGATCTGGAAGGCTGCTCAGGGTTGGGGGAAGTTCTAATTCAAAGTACACCTAAATTGCCCAGAGACTCCAACACGATTGCATCAAGTCAAAAAAGGAAATTTCCAGAAAAATGGGAAAAGGGGACTGATTAGTTGAGAGATGTTACATTTAAAACCATGATAGTAAAAATGCTGCTTGAGGTGTATGCTGGTGTGGAGAAGATACACACCAGTCCAAGGCAGTGGGCTTGTTTAGCATGTTGCTAGTCCCTGGGGCCCTGACCCAGAACCGATTGAGAGGAGCCCTGGTACGCAGGCTCCAGTGTATTTCCACAGGGCTATGAGTATCTATTGAAATTTTGCGCCATTTAATTGCCATGCAAGGGACAATTTTAAAGGGGGGAGGTTGCAGTCGGGAAGGGAAGAGTTAAGTCTTCCCATGTGGGGAACCAAAGAGGCAGTTTATCCTTTGCAAGGCCGGTGGCACTGACTCTTTGGATGAGGACCGGGAGGGCTGGAAAACGAGGTCTTTGGACAGAGAGGTGGCAGAGGAGGGAGAGCTTATCTCAAGGCTGCCGTCTCCAGGCGCTCAGGGGGACCCTGGGAAGAGACAGGGCTTGGAAGTGCCAGAAGGGGGCCAGGGAGAGGGGCAAGACAAGCCCATCCCTGGCCCCATGATGTGGCATTGGGCTAGACGGGCTACGCAATTAGAGCACCTGCATCAATTTTGAAAACTTGCTCTTCAGTGTTTCTGAAAGGGAGCATTTTCAAAACTAGTTTCTAGTTTGGGTTCAAAGAAATAGTTGTTTCACACACAAAGATTTGCCTGCGTGTGGCTCTAGTGGGTTAGCTGTGAAACCAATAAAGAGCTATTTTGCAGACACTCCCTATTGTTCGAAACAAAGACGGGAAACCCAGCTCCCAGCGGCCCTTCCCACATGCTGTGCCCCCTCTGTCAAAATCTTATCCAGCATAACAAGCTGCTGGCAAAGAGGTTTTCCATCAGTTGGGAATAAATCAACTGAGGTGCTTTCTTTTGTTCACGACAATTTGGTTAAAAGATCAACTGGCTAGCTTTGTCCTCCATGACAAGTTTTTAATAAACCTTAGTAATTATTTCTGAATTTGAGTATTTTTATGTATTTTTGTCTGTGTGTATGTGTGTGTGAATATGTCAGCTGGCACATGTAGATTGTAAACTTGCTCAGAGAGCTCCAGCTATGGGGTGGTATAGAAATGAAAATAATAATAAAAATGATAATAGATTTCTGTCCGATGGGCAAAAGCCCTGAATCATTTATATACCTAGCAATGCCCCCAGAGAAGAATATCTCTCTCTCTCTCTCTCTCTCTCTCTCTCTCTCTCTCTCTCTCTCTCTCTCACACACACACACAC